CCTAAGCATTGTATCCTTTTTGTTGTATTGTAAATAGGATTGTTTTCTTCATTGCTTTTTCTTATATTTCTTTGTTAGTATATAAGAACACAACAGATTTTGTATATTGATCCTGTATCCTGCAACTTTAATAACTTGTTTATTGTTTCAAATAGTAGTCTTATAATTTTTTTAAATATATTTTATTGATTTTTTACAGAGAGGAAGGGAGAGGGATAGAGAGTTAGAAACATCGATGAGAAACATCGATCAGCTGCCTCCTGCACACCCCCTACTGGGGATGTGCCCACAACCAAGGTACCTGCCCTTTACCGGAATCGAACCTGGGACCCTTGAGTCCGCAGGCTGATGCTCTATCCACTGAGACAAACCGGTTAGGGCGTCTTATAATTTTTAACTACACTATTCAGTTTATTCCCTCCTCTCTCCTCACTCTGATATGTCGCCGCCACTCTCATATGCAAACATTTGCCAACAGAGAGAGGGCAACAAAATCCACAACCCCTGTTGACTTATAACCCAAATGTAATAAGATTGAAAAGTAAACCAAAATTAAATATTCCTAATGTGATTTCCTGCAAGCTTCAATTTGCATTTTGAAACCAGAGCACAAGGCGAGGCTGGTCACAGCATCAAAATGATATACCTTAAAGCTACTCTTATTTTGAATAATCCCAATGATTTTTTAAACAAATATATATGTGAGAAAGGAGGAGAGAAGCAAGAGGAAAGTAAGAGGAGAAAAGAAGTTAAATATCTTAACCACAGACTATATAATAGTGTATTAAAATCAGAGCCTACCTCTGGCTAAGATTTACAGTGACATGAGACTAATTAACTAAGAGTGAGTTGGTTCTGTTTAACTAAATTAATAAAGCAATTGTTTTTATTATTTTAGTCTATACTCTGACTCCATAATAGCTACTAATAAACTAAACCACTTTGGGATTTTACAAGTGAATTTCATTATCACTGTTTTTTTATTCCATGAAAAGGACTATGGTAATAACTAATAAAAGACTAAGGTTTTTGTTAATAAAATGAACAATTAAGCTTGGAAATCAATGGACGACTAGACAGAAGCAGAAATCATTTATTTGCTGGAATTTTTTTTAATTTTCTGGAGATGGCAATATTAAATGTGAAATCATATCAGTCCTTCCTGAACTTTAAGCCTATCTTTTAAGAAACTCACCCAACCATTTTTTATTCATCCCACAATACTGCTGCTAACAAAAAGATTTTTTTAATTACCCAAATTAAACTTCAATAATAAGAACTTTTTCATTGTACATTTGTATATCAAAATGACTTTTTAAATGCCTATTGACTCCGTTTTAAAGATCCCACTTTCAAGGTTCTAACTCAACAACTACTATTCTAATTGAGTCAGCCACACATGACATTTAAACCTCTTAGCTCACTTGCCTGCCCTCTCACTGACCTTGCTTCCTCCCACTTGTGGCCAGAAAACTCAAGATAGTAAATGCAGAGTTGAGAGACCTAAGGGTGTGGGGGAAAGTTTCATATGAAAAAGTTATTATTCATTTGGCCATTTGCACTATTATGTATTTTTCTTTTGAAATATAATCTTCTGCCTTCAACGAGAGAGGATATATTATATCATACAGTGTATGCATTAGAGAAATTAAGATGACTGCTAGAAGACAGCACCACTTAAAAGCCAAATTGTTTTAAATTGGTGTGAACTTGATGAAGACCTTAGGATAGTGGGTTGGGAGATAAGCCAGTAAGGCTATTTGATATTTGATAAGACTCTCACTTGGGAGATATAAAATAGATGTTTATTGGTTTTGCTATTAACCCTAACTGTTCAGATAGTCAAAAATACACACACGCACATTGCATACTTATTTTCATTTTTCATTTCGTTGCTGCTTTAAAATAAATGTTTCAGCCTTTGCATTGAGTTCATGGGGCATCAGTAGCATGCCCTTTTCTACTCTGGGCTTTTCCTGTATCTTCTTGGTCCTGGAAAGAGACCAAATGCAAAGTGATCCACATTATAGGCAAGGAGAGCTGAGTGTTTAGTTTGCTCATCGTTTATATTCCCAGAATTCATCAGGGACTCACTTTGGAAGATAAAACATGGATCAATTTAGCTACTTGTCAAGCTTTATATATGTGGGGGGGAATAGAAAGTAAGACCTAAAATAAGGTTGGAGATTATTTACCAGTCTCAGTGTGTTTGGCATCTTCACTAAATGTTCTGTAGCAGGAGTTAGTAAACTACAGCCCACAGGCCAAATTCAGACCCTTCCACTACCCTTTCCACCTGACCCCCAGTTTTTGTAAATAAAGTTTTATTGGAACACAGCTGAACCAATCTGTTTGCATGTTGTCTAGGGCTGCTTTCATACTATGTTGGCAGTGTTGAGTTGTTGCCACAATAAAGACCTACAAACATGGCCACAAAATCTAAAATATTCTCTATCTGGCCCTTTACAGAAAAAGCTAGCTGATCTTGTCTTTCCACAATGGTCACTGACGAGAGCTGTGATAGGTGACAGCATAGTAATCCTCATTGCATAGGGAAAGCTAACAGGGTACCGTTCTTCTTGTGAGCTTGTCATCTTTTTGTATCTGAAAACAAAATTCAGCACCACGTTATTAAACAAGCATTATTCATCACATTATGCTCCAGTTGGCAGACTTATCATTTGCTTTCAGATTTTTCCTATATCTGAAATTGTTTAGTATTTTGCATTTTCCTTTATGTCTACACCTGGAGTGTAATATTCAGTGTCTGTGTATTTGTCATGATGCTTGTTCCAGGAACCAGGCAAGTATATAGGAGTGTGAAAGAAGAGTGTTACGATTATTTTTGAGGGCAGATTTTGGTTTTATTTTTCTAAAGAGTCCCCATAGGTAGCGTTATTTAAAGACCACGAGAGTTTTTAATCTTTTAGGACACTGTTTTGCCCCAACTTCTCTAGGTGCCAGAAGATGAAGTCAAGAATTCAAAAACAAGAGAGGGAGGGAGGTCACATTGTGAGGAGAATTTCTTGGGAATAATTCTGGGTGGCCCTTCCTCCCTCATCCACCTTCCTGACAAGGTTGCATGTGACTTTCAATCTCTCCAAGGGGGGTGGCTCCTTAAGGATAACAAATGTCAGATGCTTCCTAAAGGGACTCCTTCCTGATACACCAGGCCAGGTCCCCCTGCTCCAACCTTCCTGACAAGGTTGCATGTGACTTTCAATCTCTCTGAGGGGGGGTGGCTCCTTAAGGATAACAAATGTCAGACCCTTCCCAAAGGGACTCCTTCCGTGCCTGAGACACCAGGCCAGGTCCCCCTGCTCCGTGCACAGCCCAGGCTCAGGCCCAGGACGCATCCTGGTTGCGGTCTTTCCAGTTTGAAAACTTGGATTGGTTTTCTGTGAGAATTTCAATTTCCCTAAACTAGATCTGAACCATTTGTGCTCGCTAGGATTGAATGCTAGAACCTTCTTATCAGTTCTTTCCTTTTCTGCCAAAGTCAAGGTTAAGGAGCCAGATTTGCATGCCTCCTCAGCACAGCTCCCTGTGAGAAAGCAGTAGGATTGTGGAAAAACGTTTGAAAACTTGGATTGGTTTTCTGTGAGAATTTCAATTTCCCTAAACTAGATCTGAACCATTTGTGCTCGCTAGGATTGAATGCTAGAACCTTCTTATCAGTTCTTTCCTTTTCTGCCAAAGTCAAGGTTAAGGAGCCAGATTTGCATGCCTCCTCAGCACAGCTCCCTGTGAGAAAGCAGTAGGATTGTGGGGAAAAAAAAATGTTTATTCCAAAGTTCTTTCTCCAGGCTATTTTACTAACTTTTTGAAAATGTTAGCAGTTCCCTCTGGGCTTTTTTCCCTAGGCCCCTCTCAAGGTCATTGCAGTCATGGCCATTGTTGATTAGTGGGAAGGGAAAAAATACTTTAAAAAAATGTTGATATTTTTCTACATTCTAGAGAAACTCAGAGATAAATCAAGTCCTGACTATTGTGGCTTCTCTCTCAGGGGTTGGGCTCCCTGTGAGAAAGCAGTAGGATTGTGGGGAAAAAAAAATGTTTATTCCAAAGTTCTTTCTCCAGGCTATTTTACTAACTTTTTGAAAATGTTAGCAGTTCCCTCTGGGCTTTTTTCCCTAGGCCCCTCTCAAGGTCATTGCAGTCATGGCCATTGTTGATTAGTGGGAGGGGAAAAAATACTTTAAAAAAATGTGGATATTTTCTACATTCTGGAGAAACTCAGAGATAAATCGAGTCTTGACTATTGTGGCTTCTCTCTCAGGGGTTGCGGGGTACAGGACACACTTGTATGAAAGCACAGCCTCTCTTTACTGTCACATGCCTGTGGACTTAAATTTGTAGCACAGATTTTTCTCTGTGATATAAAAAGAACTGTAGTCCAGACTAATTCAAAGAATGTGTGAGGAACAAGACTGCTCCATTCTTGGAAACTTACAAAATACGAAAAGAAAACAAAAAACTTTTTCTGCATATAAATAAATCTTGGGAAGCACATTGTGCAGAAAAGCAAAGAAAATTACAGAATATGAGATCCAGACTAAGAGAAATACTTCCTTAAATATCTCCAAGGGCTTCTTTTGTTGGAGTTTTTAGTATCAGAATTAGCCTGCTGTAAGAATAGCCAGCATCCTGCAGCAGGCACAAGTGCTGGGATTTAGAGCTAGAGAGAAGAAACCATCAATTCCCTGTTCGGAATCGCGACCCCTGTGGGGGCAAGGCAGGCAGAAAGCAGGTGGTCTGTGGCTGGAATGTCTTACAGCTGGGAGTTCATATGACACTGGAAGAGACCAATCCAGAAACAGTGGCAAGTGAGCTGATGAACTAAACAGAAGCGCCCATCAGAGGACAGGGTGGCAGGGCCCTGAGCACATCCTGAGAGGGCACTGGGCCATGGCAGCAGGTGGGAAGCATCCCCTCCCGGTGCCCAGGCTCTCCTGCCTGGGGCTTCTCACCCTGTCCTCTTGTTTGCTTGCCAACTGCAGGTTCGTCCCAGAGGCCTGGTCGGCCTGCACGGTTACCTGTGGTGTGGGGACCCAGGTGCGAATAGTCAAGTGCCAGGTGCTCCTGTCTTTCTCCCAGTCGGTGGCCGACCTGCCTGTGGACGAATGTGAAGGCCCCAAGCCGGCATCCCAGCGAGCCTGTTATGCGGGACCATGCAACGGGGAGCTTCCTGAGTCCAACCCGGGAGAGACGGATGGCCTCCTCGGTGGCCTGCAGGACTTTGATGAGCTGTATGACTGGGAGTATAAGGGCTTCACCAAGTGCTCTGAGTCCTGCGGAGGAGGTAAGAAGGGAGATTCTGGCTCAGATCCCCACCATCTTCTTGTCCTCTTTCTGTACCCTCTCTCCCTGTGTGCAACTGTGTCACGTGACTGCCTCTGGTCCAGGAATGATAAGCAGGGGGAGGAGCGGGGGGAGCCTTTCTAAACATAAAGCAAACTGAATGAAACCCAGATGTGTCTCTCCTGGGCTTGAGGAGCTCTGAGATTGTCAGCTGGGAGTGGCCAACACAGCTTATTCTTTTACTTTCCGTTGTCATTCTGGTGTTTTGCACAATATCCTGATGGATCTGACTGAGAAACGCGGTTGACACGGACCCAGCAATGCCCCCAACTTTCAGTTTTACTCATCTAGGCCCTGGCCTCAGTGCACACGGGATGAACCAGAACCCAAGATGACAGAACAGCCTGCTATTCCCAAGAATAACTTCTAGTGCCTCTGATTTACTCAGCTGACCCACCAAAGTACTATCTGTTTCCAAAGAGAAAGGGTGTATAAAGGGCAATTCACACCGCGGTTACCTGTAACTGGAGGGGAGTAAGATTGAAGAAGTCTGACCCCACCGCCATTTTTCAGATGAGAAAACGAAGATACAAAGAAGCCGAGTGACTTGTGCAAGATCACACCACTAGTGCATGACAGCTGGGACTAGGCTTGCCATTTATTTATTTCTCTGTCTAGCGTGCGTCACACCACACTTCTTTAAGCATCTAGAATTCCTGAAGCTTTCTCATTATGAATATGATTGAACTAGTGTTAAATGGTCCATGTATTCTGACCTGGTTCCTAGGTGTATTTCATGGTGATCAAATAGACTCAGTGATTCTTTATTTCGTGTGAAATCTGAATGGGATTGTGGTGGGAGAGGAAGGCATTTAAATCAACAGCTAATTCGTCGAGATTACATTATAGAATGTAATTACCATTTTAGAAAATACATTACATTTTCTTACCATTATAGAAAATACATTACATTCCTATTGCCATTGCCTCCCCCTGAGGTTTTGATGGGTGAGGAAACTCTGCTGACCTCCTGCCAAATAAAACGAAGATACAAAGAAGCCGAGTGACTTGTGCTAGATCACACCACTAGTGCATGACAGCTGGGACTAGGCTTGCCATTTATTTATTTCTCTGTCTAGAGTGCATCACACCACACTTCTTTAAGCATCTAGAATTCCTGAAGCTTTCTCATTATGAATATGATTGAACTAGTGTTAAATGGTCCATGCATTCTGACCTGGTTCCTAGGTGTATTTCATGGTGATCAAATAGACTCAGTGATTCTTTATTTCGGGTGAAATCTGAATGGGATTGTGGTGGGAGAGGAAAGCATTTAAATCAACAGCTAATTCGTCGAGAATGTAGTTACCATTATAGAAAATACATTACATTCCTACTGCCATTGCCTCCCATTGAGATTTTGATGGGTGAGGAAAGTCTGCTGACCTCCTGCCAAATCCCCCGCTCTGGCTATCAGTGTTCTGCATTCCCAGCAAAGTTTCTTGAGTGGTGTAAATATATATATATTATTCCCCCAAACTGCGTTAGAAACTATGACATTTTGAAAACTCTTTTTAAAAGGCATGTTTTGTTCTGGCCTGCATTGCTCAGTGGTTAGAGTGTCGGCCCAAGGACAGGAGTTTCGAGGGTTCGATTCCTGGTCAAGAGCATGTATCTGGGTTGCAGGTTCATTCTTCTCTCTCTCTCTCTCTCTCTCTCTCTCTCTCTCTCTCTCTTTCTCTCTTTCTCTCATTTTCTCCCCTGCCCTCCCTTTTCCTCTCCCTCTCCCCCTTCCCCTCTTCCTTCCACTCTCTAAAAATCAATGGAAAAAATATCCTCACTCCTCAGGTGAAGATTGAAAAAACAAGGCATCTTCTGTCATTATTGAGAATGTAAGGAGAAATGTGCCCAAACTGTTCCCATGGAGTTGAAAAGGAATGAATAGTGGAACAAGTACTAGCAAAGAATCAATTTTCTCCAACACAATTTTTTAATAAGTGTTTAATAGTTTTGACCTTGAGATTCTTGTTTGTTTCTAAGCCTTCCAGTTTGAAACCGTGAAATTCTTAAGCAGTTTAATGGAGAGCCCTGTTCTCTTAAAACCTAAATTTTTCCATCTGATTCTGGAAGAGTTTCTTGGAACTCAGCTAATCTGTGTTCTTATGGTGTTCTTCCCTCACACGGAGGACATCTTTCCGTCCTTAACGAGGGAGAAGTGTTAAATCAGCTGGTGATCTCTGAGCCTGGGCAGGAGCTACGAGGTCATGTGGAAAGGCCACCTGCCAGTGGCTACCATGGCTTCTTTCCAACATTAGGAATGACTCAAGAGTTCAGATGGTGTGTGTTTATCCCCAATTTCCATGATCACCTGAATTGAACGATCATTATCTCTAGTCTAAAACAAACGTGCTTTGAAAAACATTACTTCTGGTCTCTCAGTTATGGTTCTCAGTTACAAGTCATGCCTGGAACTTGATGAGCAGATGGAAAAAATAGATGCAGTAATGGAATATATAAATAAGCGGATACCTTTATGTTTAAGAGTCTAACTATTTTGCGGATCAACCAAGGGCATAAAATTCAAAGTGGAGAGAGTATATGGAATGTTTTTCATGTAAAATGTTTTCAGGAGATACTGATTTAGAAATAAGACTTGGATGTTGGATGTGCCGTTGATCTCTGCCTGTAGGAACTGAGCATCTTTGTATGACATAAATTGTATATCCTTTCTGTCCAAGGCAGCAAAGTTAATGAAATGCCTTAGTTCTTAACTGTCAACAACTGTGCCAACTTACCTACAGTTATGTCCCTGTGCCAATGTCCTATATTTACACCTAAAATGTCCGAGTTGAAAACTCCAAACTGGTGAAAATAGGCTTGGGCTATCTGAGCCCATATGATGCCCATATGCACTAAAAAATTATTTTGTTATGTGGGACAGGTACATTTTGAAGTCAGTGTTTGGCAGTAACATTTTATTGTATTATCAACTTTGATCTTTCACCAAAATATAACCCACGAGGTTACATATATTTTTAATCATTCTTGCTGAAGGCAACCAAAAACGTACAAGATGGACAGGTAGATTTTTTTTTTTAAATCAATTGTGGGCTGTAAGGCCAGTCGGGCTAATTTTATTGTTTTTGTAATCTCAAGAGAGGAAATTGGATAGACACAAAAGTAACCTTTCGCCTAGCAGAGGTAGCGACCAGAAGGAACTAGTTAGTAATTTAGGCTGTAGTGGGTGACTACGTTTCCCCAAGCTGTCATCAAATATCATGTAATAATTAAGCTATTCTGAGAGAGAGAAACAGTGAAAATTCCATTTTCTGGAAGATTAAAAATGAGCCTAACCTGTTGGTGGCTGTGTCCTGTGTCCCACTATCAACTCCTCGTTCTATTTTAATTTCCCTATGTACGGTATTAGGTGTGGTCAAGGATTTGAACCTGAACAACTTTCTGACGTTGAACTCCTAGATGGTAAAAATCAACATTGAACTCTAGCTGAGGGAAAACTCGAAATTTACTTCAGCAAGAATGAAGATGTCTTATACCTGCTGTTCCCTTTTCCTTATGAGTCCTCTCTCCTTTTGCTTCTGTCAAGAAAGGAAAACTCAAAATCATAAACTACTGTAGTTATACATATGTTCTGCATTGGTTTAGAATGTCCTTCTCAGTGCATATATTAGCCTGTTTGGAAAGAGCACAAACTGGATGAGCTAACTTCTCACTTCCTGGCCTGACTCCCCTGGGCCAAGGATACTGTGAACTTGAAGGTGAAGTCCTCACAGTTCCTCCCTCCTCCAACTTCCCACACTCCCAGGTCCAAGGCAGCTCCCTCACTCCATGTTCCTCCCTCCAGGCATCCCATCCCCTCCTCCCCTTAGCCGTAATTGCACACTATGCTTAGAATGCCCTGCCCTTTAGGCATTTCATTCCATTCGTCAGGCCACAAAAATGTATTGTGTGTTGACGACAGGGCTGGTCCTAGATACTCCTTTCTTATGACAGAACTCTGTCCTTCCTTTCCCCCACCATCCCGAGCCCCACCTAAAAATGCCGAGGCAACTGGCCTCTATCGCAATAGACCTTTAACTCCTAGTGTTGTGGAGGCACGGTATATTGTTTTATCATACGCTAGATTAGAATCGAGTAACTCTAAAATGCTGCTTAATCTCAGCTCTTAACCATCCCAAAGGTGATTTTGATCTTGAGCTATGATTATTGGTTTAATGTAAATTTGTGTTCCACAATCCAAGAAAGGAGACTACAGATGTCCTTGTGGAAACTTAACCTTTATTACATCCATTGTTTGAAATCTTAGGAGAACCTAAATTCTATAAACAAGGAGTTCACACAGTGAAAACAGGTCACATTACTCATATACCCCCCGCCACACACACACCTACACCTGAAATACTTTTAAATAAGGCAAATGATAACATATTCGTAGCTGAACAAAGCCCAAATATATTATATTTTAGAGCAACATTTAGTATCTCTTAAATAAATTGAAAACTTAACTTCTTAATGTGTTCCTTAATATAACCACAGCTCTGGATTCTGTATGGAATTGTTAACCTCATCCGGCGCCTTGCCGTCATTACCTCAATAATGCCAGACTATTCCAGGGGGAAGGGTCAGTGGTGATATCAACCATTTCTTGTGAAATGTTTTGCTATATCATCATTCCATGGACTTCAAATGGCTCATCCCAGCTGGAACCAAGAGAAACACCCTGTAGTCAGCATTACAGAATACAGTGGAGTATCTTGAATGTCCCATACAATTCCCAAATTCTCCACTCTGAACTAGCTGTGATATGTTTAAATTAAATTTTGAAGTTATTAAAAACTCAGAAAAAAAAGAAAATTTACATTCATGGCCACAGGGTAAATATTGTGACTGATTTTTTTTTTCTGTCTGATGTATGAGACTTACTGGGAAGGAAGAAAGGTGATACTGATTCTGGCTTTAAAATGTCACTTTTTGACTAATGGTCTTGTTGGGTGACGTAAGCCAGTATAGCATCACCCTAGGAAGCATTAGCCTGTTGTTGGGGTGATACCTTCTTGGAGAAATATAGGGTAGATAGGAGGAGGGGAAAAACAGGGCTAAGAAGTGATGGTCAGTGCGCTGGTCGGTGTGGCTCAGTTGGTTAGGTGTCATCCCATGCACCAAACGTTGCCCATTCGATTCCTAATCAGGACACATGCCCTGGTGGCAGGCTCACTCCCTGGTAGGGGGTGTGTAGGAGACAGCAGATTGATGTTAAGCTCTCACACTGATATTTCTCTTTCTGTCCCTCTTGCTTTCTCTCTCTCTAAAAAAATCAATAAAAATGTGTGTTTTTTTAAAAATAAATGATGAGTCAGTTGAACTACATCAAGGACTAATTGCAAAGCAATGCATAAAATAAGAAATACAGGGGTGGACAAAACTATGTTTGCAGTTGTAATACAAATAAATAATACAATAATTGATAAATAATAATATAAGAATAAACAGTGTTTTGTGTACTCGTTACTATAAACCTACTTTTGCCCACCCCTGGATATGTGTATTTATATATAACACTAATTCAATGGATTGTCACATATTCTGCTGTAACTACATACAAATATTTAACTACAGATAGGTATCTTTAGCTATACAGATCTTTATATACATAGCTATGTACGACTGAAAGCTTATTATCGAGAATGTTTTGTCTCGCCTGTTCTTTAAACTAAACTCTGCTGAAATGATTCCAGACAAATGCCTAGGCTATTCCTGAAGATCTCAGCAGATAAAACAGCCTCTAAGTATTTTTAAATGTGAATGCTGTCAGCATTAAGGCTCCCATATGAAGGCACAGCTTCATGTTTGTCATCTGTGTGACCTTAGCAAGTCTTTTGACCCTTCCAAGCTTTAGTTTTCTAAGCTGTAAACTGGGGATACAAGTAGTGCATTCCTCATGGAGTTGTTGAGAAGATTGAATGGTGCATGTCACGCCCTTAGCCTCATACCTGGCTAACCATGTGCAACCGGTGGGTTTGGACTGTTATTATGACTGTGGGCACCAGAATGAAAAGTCTGGTCCGGGAAGGTCATGACCTTACCCAGTTCAATGCTTCCTTGCTCCATGAAAGTCTCCATGACGGGTCCTGCCTGCCACCTTAGACCTGCCAAGTCACCTGTGCCCATCACTGCTCAGATTCCTGTTTTACGAGCTCTGCGTCGGGGGCAGGCAGGCATCAGTGGGAACACTGTTTCCATGGTGTAGTCATTATGCATCTTGTTCTCTTTCTTTGTTCTAAAGAACTGCCCTGGCTCACTAAAGAAGTGAACCCGAATCACAAGAAACCAACAGAAACTGGAGTCCTGGATGCGAGGCCCCGGGAGAACAGCAGTTTACAGATTGCTGGATATTAAAACATGGCTCTGGGCCTCCCTTCCAAACACAACAATCTCCTGTTGATTAAAATGTAACGTGCGAAGGTCGTGGGGCCATTTTTTTTGTCACCCGGCTCTCCGTCTGCATTAAATTATCACGTTTCCGCGTTGGCAGCTATAGGGCCTGGTGGCATTTTTTAAAGCATTTCAACATCCTGGAAGCAGCCTGTCCTCTCGGGGGACACTCCCAGAGGCACGAGCCTATGTGTACTTTCTCCCAGACCGAGCGATGCTTGACAAGATGAGATGGGCAGTCCCGGGCTTGAAACTGCTGTCTCTGACATGCGGCGAGAGTCCTACCAATCACAGGGACCTCCCAGCGGCTGCCTTGTCCACACTTCATCACCCACACACGCCCGCTCGGCCTGACAGTGTGATTTGTACACAGGTGTCCAGGAGGCTGTGGTGAGCTGCCTAAACAAACAGACGCGGGAGCCTGCTGATGAGAACCTGTGCGTGACCAGCCGCCGGCCCCCGAAGCTCCTGAAAGCCTGCAGCTTGGAGCCCTGCCCATCAAGGTAACAGGCATGTTGCCTGCCCTGCTACCCTGGAGCGTGTGTTCGGAGCTGGGTGCGTCGGTCCGTGGGCAAGACCAGAACGCTTATTGTTACCCAGTGTTTTGAAAACCAATTAGCATCAGTTCAAACTGTGAGTCAAATCCACTTAAGTTTAATTGAAACCAGGGCTCTGGAATTCCAGCCCGATGGTCATGCTCAGGGCCCAGAAGGCTCCGTGCACTGAAGTGGTCCCGTGGCGTGACCGGTATGTGCACGTGCCGCATGGCAGCTTTCTCCTGGAGGGAATATGAACTGACCACAGACTCCAGGGTCTCTGCCACCTTGGAGCCTGTGTCCCAAGGCCTCATACCACACCCAGTGGTTTGGCTCATGGAGCATCTGGGTGGTATAATTGACCCACGGTAAATCTCATGCACACAGCATGTAGATTCATTATAGCATGCTCTGGGGTGTATGTGTGTCATTTCACATGCATAAAATCAATTAGAGCATTTTATTGTTCAGCCCTGCCTGGGTCTCATTATTACCCAACCTTGAGTCTTAGTCAGTCAATCCGATCACTGCCTCTGTCCACACAATTTTATGGTGTCTTGGGAGACTTGCCTCCTGACACTTCTTTGGAGCAAATCTCTGTGGGAGCTAGCCCGTCTCATCTATGATTCTGGTTTTAAAGGGACAGGTTTACGCAACCAAAGCCAGACTTGCAAGTTGGCTGATGGAATGAAGAATGTTACCAGATAAGGTCATATCCTAGGCATGCAGGGAATGCTGTTTCTGAATGGTATCTCTTCTCTTTCTGCACAGTATCCTGTAAGAAGACGCGTGTTGCCTTCAGGAATTAACAATAATTTGCTACTCAAGTTGATGCTGCTTGTCTTGTTTCTCAGCCAACTAACTGCTTTCCTTTGGCACATAGAGGGTACAGATCACAGGCCTCCTCAGATCAGATCAGGGCAATCTCACAGTGGCACTTCTGCCGGTCACAGAGTTGTTCCAGGCATTGGTCTGAATGGTGAGCCTGGCTTCCCCTTTCAAAGGCAGAAGTGAGGAGGGCCGCTAGGGCCATATTCTCCAAAGGAACCAGAAGATCAGTCGGCCGCTGCTTAGAGCCCCACTCCACTCGGGAGAGTGGCAGCCAGGGAAACAAAGTCAAGGGCTGGCCCCACTAGAGCTAGATCCAGTGCATGGAATGCTGGAAACCTCTTTTCTATTTCTGCCCGACCTAAATTTACACCTCCGTCCTAACCTCACTGCTCTCCCGTTGGGTGAATCTAAGCCCTAATTGCATGGGCAAGGGATACAAACCCCTTCTATTTGACAGTCTTTTCCCCATGTAAGAAGAGGCTGAGCGGTTTCAGCATGGACAGTCAACTAGGGCCTTGGCTAGGAGGCCCAGAGGCCTGGCTTCCCATCCTAGCTCTGTCACTACTAGCTGTGCAGCATTGGGGAAGTCACCTGCCCTTTCGGTATCCACATCTGCCAAATGATCGGAGGGCACCACCTCCTGCTCAGATATCCCCTGACTCTTCATTCTTCTGATTCTTCTGTAGAATGAAGACTACTGCTGCTGCTTTATTGTGCTGATCATTGCTGTCACTTCTGTCTGCTTATTTACTCTCACTTTAAAAACAAGCAGAAATGTCTCCCTAACCGCATCCCACTGTAGTAATGACATCCAAATGCTGTGATGAGCTGAGGCAATGTCGAGGAGTCGGAACCTGGAACTAGCTGGAAATCTGGGATCTGCAGCCACTAAACCCGCCGTTTCCTGGGGCGGCGGAGGGAATAGGACACAAGATGTTACTTTTCATCCTCCGAGTATTAACGATGTTAAATTAGATGAGCTTAATTTATACTGACTTCAACAAGGACTTATGTTCCGCTTCACTTTATTTCATTTGCTCCAGAGACACTTGGCACTTTGATTTTCCACTAGTCAGTGGTCAGACTGACAGGCCAGACCTCTCCTTGGGCACAGCCAGGGATTTCATGGGCCAACCAGACACAGATGAGCATTTGTAGGTTGATGCTTATTAAAACAACAATGTGGACACGTGTACAGTGGGCTGGTATGACTCGCTCAAAGAGCCAAAGCAGATTTTCACTTTAACAATGAGAAATGTATGGAGGTAACTCATATGGAATATTTCACTGTGACATCAAGGGGGGAAATCTCTCTCTTTCTAAAGGTTGGTGTAAAATGTATATGAAAGAGGAGGTATGTTTGGCAGGGGCGTAATCGTGTGGTGGTGCGTTCTCAATCACCTTGTGTTCAGTGGGAGTAATTTAAATCTTTAAACCACAGAAATTTTTATTGTGCGTAGACCCGTGTTTCCTGCACATTTTAGGGTGTCCTCTGCTGGGCCCCAAGTTTCTGTACATTGTCTCTGGGCTCTTGGTCTGTGTTAATGTCCATGCGTTCAAAAAGCCATAGCATTTTTCGTGGGATGGACCGAAATGACGTTTCAAGTCTGGGCCACTGGGCTTACTCTCTGAAAGGAGGCCGCTGGTTAAGTAGCTTTCCTAGGGAATTGTTAGTCCTACTGAACACCAGTTAGGAAGCAGCTTTTGCTCTTGTGTGTGCTCAGAGTTATCAGATCCCAGGGTGCATACCAAGGCCCCAGGGCATGTCCTATCTGGGCAGTCTTCCTAAGATTACACATCTCTTCCCCTGACTTCCTCTGTGTGAATGGCAGAGCTGGTATCAGAATCACGTGTCCAACTTTCAGCAGGTCCGGGCAGATACGTTCTCACACCCAGCTGTTCGCAGCAGGACGCCTGTATTCTCAAGCGAGAGAGACTGTCCTGCTGTTCCCACTTGCGTGTGTGTATGTGCATGCGCACAAACTGCCTGCATTTTGGGGAGCACTTTAAAAAATGGTAGTTGTCTGTTGAAGAGAACTATATTTTGAAGTTCTTGCAGTCAGCTTTATGTCTTACTCCTCCTCTCTCTGCAACTAATGCCTACCATAATGTCTGACACATAGCAGGGGCTTATTAAGTGTTTACTAAATAAATGGATATAAAGGACTAGGGCCAAATTTATAAGTAGTAGGGTATAACCCTATTATTAATGCTAGCTGGGAAGACCCCAATGCTGCCTACTCTCAATCCCCCTATCCCTTCCCTCCCATGTACCAGATGGTACTGAATTGCCATTATTTAAGAGTCCCTTCCCTAAGTTGGAGACTTTAAATGCCAATTTAAAATATAAATAGCCTTAGGATAAGTAGCCCTGTATGTTAGCAATCACATATGGCAACGTATCCTCAAAATAAGAATTGGAAGGCAAGCTTTGATACAGTGGATGTGGACACGGTTGTTGAATGAATTGTTTGCATTGTCCAGAAAGGAATTTGCTCATCAGGAGAGAGAGAAAGTAGTGTGTATCATGAGGACAGATGTTAATCCCTTAACAATCTTGCCTAAAATTGTCCAGGAGAAATTAGGATTATTTTTGCTTGTGAGCTGACAGTGAGAATTTTACATCAAAGTTGATAATCGCATAGAAGTTATTATTACAAGGCAGAAAAATCACTGTAGGTTCCTTCACTGTCATTGAGTAATTTGTGTCCAGAAGCCACACCACCCTGCCAACCTTCACTGGTGGCTTAGACCAGCATATAGCAGAGATATCCAAAAAGGAGCTAAGATCAGTCATTAGGAAAGAGGTCAGCCTCCTGCTCCCAATGAGAAAGCTTTCTGAGTACTCTAGAACCTATGCAGGCAATACATGGATATTCTCATCCTTTAAGAGTCCAGCACAGCAAAAGTGATCCAGAAAGGCATCCGCTCCCCTTTCTCCATCATGCCCTATAACTCCACTCCCGTTCTCCCCAGAGATAACCACTGCTGATGGTTTGATACATGCCTTCCCAGAACTTGTTCTATGAATGTATATGCATATATGAACACATACAAATATATAAGGTTTTCTTCCCTTTGTAAATGGGATCATATTGATATGTTCGGCAACTTGTTTTCCCACTTAATTAATGTGCACTAAGAACGGTTCCTATCCCTGAGGCCACCAAAATAAAAACCAGCCGGTAAATTGACACTATGCCCCAATTCTGCTGTGTCACGTTTAGCTGTGTGACCTTCCAGAGGTCACACGTCTTTTTGGATCCTCAGATTCTTCATCTCTAAAAAGAGGATTGCAGTAAGCACTCAGAAAAAATGAAAAAGTACTTTTCTTCTCCTTCCCTTTTATTCATGGTGAGAAATACTTTATTTTTGAATAAAGCAATGTTTTGTATTCAGGTCTTAACTCAAATTTGATTAGTTTTTTCTCTCTTATTCGAGAAAAAGGCCTCACTGGTCATCTCCCTGGGTTATACTAGCAATGACATGAGCAGCCCAAGGAGAGCCAGAAACCACTACCTTAAAAGAAAAAAAAAAAAGAGTACGACTGTTATTAATTATAAGCATTTGATAGCTTGGCCAGTGTGTGTTGAAAAGATTTGGTAAACGTACCTGGAGGAGGGGCAAGAAGTAAGCAATGAAAGCCAGATGGCTGAAAATGAAGGAAATTCCAGGCAATTTCTGCAGCTTTGTTCTAACATACTTTTTAAACTAAACTTTTATTTCTCTGCAACAGAGAACAGCTGAGTGGTACAGAACAGATAAACAGTAAAGAGGGGGCGCTCATAATTCCTGGAACATTACTTGGTTTCTGCTCCCCCACCCCCACCCCAACTCCTTTTCTCAGGCCTAGGGTGGTTCCTAGAACCAGGAAGAACTATAAGAGAAGTTTGAGAATCCCTATTTGAGATGAGAGAGTTAAGAAAAACATCTCAAAGGTCACAGAGTCTCCTCTTTAAAAGCACACTGCAGAATGCCAATTTTATTGTACACTAACAAAAGCCATGCGCACCCGCACCAAATGATTTCCAATTTCTGATTCCCTTTTATATTGGCCTACAATGGCTCGAGCAGAAGGTGTTGCCTTTTTACACAGCCATGCTTTAATTTATTTGTTGGAGCTTTCAAAGCTTTGC